GAGAGAGAGAGAGAGAGAGAATTAGGTACTTGTGGCCCCTCATTACAAAAAAATTATATGATTATGAAATAAAACGTAATATAAAATAGAAGATAATTAATTACGAAAAGAACATAGAAATATCCACTGTAAAAATTAGCTTAATTGAGATCAACAGTTTTGGACCCACATTGAAAGAGGACGTAAAAGGAATACAATGAATAAAACTAGTTTTCTACTAAGAAAAAATAAAACTGACTATCACATCAATCTTGTCTATATAAATTGACCTTTTCTCCTTGTCTTTTTCGATTTTGGAGAGCCTACTTGGAGTCTTAATTGATGAATATATATATTCATTTTCTTGTAATAAGCTTTTAGCAAAAAGGTACACTCTACAATGTGCGAATTAGCAAGGTTGGCATAAATTGAGCTTGAGTACATAATTTGGAGATTTTTATTGAAGTGTATACATCTTTCAAATGAAAATAACTCTTTATGTAAGCAAAGAGACAGTCAATACCGTCTTCATTACTTCAATAACCTGTGATCAGACATGGGTACTGGAACTACTCAAGTACCCTTAATGGCTTGTGGGGACGGTTTGTCAATGTTACCTAAGGGCTAGTCTTTGAGCTTAGACTCAATCAAGGTGCTAATTGGTTGGATTGATTGGCACCATGGCTTGTGAGGGGCGGTTTTTCAGTGTTACCTAAGGGCTAGTCTTCGAGCTTAGACTCAACTAGAGGTGCTAATTGGTTGGATTGACCAGCTCAATATACAACTTAAAGAATCAATTTATCATTAGAGTAATGTTATATCATCTCATCTTACTTCATATCGAAGTAAGTATTGTTCCCTCCTAAAAAAACAATAGGTATAAGTTGATTATGGACTCATTAGAAAGTTGAGCGAAATATGGTGACATCGGTTGTTTTGTAGCTAGGTTAGGCATATAAATGGCTGATCTTTTTTCACAAAATATTCAGCATAAAATTGAAAACATTGGTCTAAGCACAAAAGACTAATGAAAAAGAAGCCGCAGAAAGGCATCAATGATATATATGGTTTCCCTACAAAAGACTGCAGATTAGAATGAGAGAGAATTTGTGGGGGTGGCCTACAAAGATTAATTTGCATGAACTTTATATATAAGTAAACGTATAAATATGCAATAATTGTAG